GGATGTTCTTTTGGCAGAGTGGGCACCAGCACTCTTGTCCAACATCCAGTCTTTGTTTCAGTGTCAAGAGCTGCAGCCTCTGTACTTCCCCTTGGGGATGCAGACCAATAGCTCTTACTGTCATAAAGTTTCCTTAATGCTAAGCTTTAAGAAAAGAAGCTTTAAGAAAGAAAAAAAAATTTTTTTTTCCTTTGGATTTTATCCCATTACCTCTGATCTCTCACAGGCCCATTCCTTTGTTCCAACAGCGTTAATGTCCTGCCAGTATATCAAGAGTCTAAATGACTTTATGTGCATGTTAAGGTGGGTGTTTCTGTTGAATCCTGTGTGTGTTTTGATCTTGGTGGCTTTTTCCTGTAGGGCAGCTGCTTCAGGTCAGGAATCTCCTTTTTTTTGTTGTCTGTGTATATGCTAATTACACTGTGAAACAAGTAATTTCATGCAATAAGTGAGATGTGAGCGTTTTGCAGAATGGCTGGCTCTGTACATGGGCCAAGTAACTGCTCCATTGGGTCACCATCCAAGTGCCCGGGGGCCAAGGACTTCAGAGCAATTCATAAAACAAGGGGTTGATGGTACTGGTTAGTTGTCTTATGAAACCTGTCATTCTAGACATCCTGTTGTATTGTTCATCTGAAATGGGGTAAGCTGCTATGGGAAATGATTTTCCCAACAAGTTCTAATAGGTTGCTGAGAATTACAGAGTTGCCAGTTACTATTAACAGTAGGCTCAAGGCTATGAAGGTACAACAGAGTGTTTCTGTGAGGGAAGGAGAAAGTGAAGGTGACAGGGAGTAGCAGGTTTTAGTAGACGGTTTTTGCATCTCTGACCTTCCCTAAGGTGAAATGGACTATTTTAGGTCTCTACAATGAGTTTGTAGATTTATCCAGGGTCTTTGTGGCCAGTTTGGAGCAGGGGTAAAAATTGAGAAGCTCCTGAATATTGAGTGAAGACAGCGCTGTTTCAGGCTTGGAAAGGAAAAGCAATGGATCATAGTTTAAAACAGTCAAAAATTCAGTCCAGTTCATTATGAATGCTTACTAAGGATTTCAAAATGCTTTTCTCAAAGCTTGATGACTTAGTCTACTTTGAGTCCCCTTAGGATGATTGCCGCCTGGAAGCATCTCCTCAGTTACACCAAAGCAGTATCCACTGTATGTCTGGATACTTGTTAATGATTCTTGCCTTGTAGTTATAAGGGAAAGAGTGCCATTATCTTCCTGCTTGATGTTATTATTTATCTGTAACCTTGAAATCTATTGGCTTTATTGCCTGTGCTGCCTTGGTAGCATTGAAAGCTTGATCTGCCTTTTGTAAGGCATCTGTGTAATGTTACTGGTAGTCCGTAGGGAGCTGACTACATGTGTTAGATATCTGAAACAGTCTGTGAAAAAATTGGAAATGATTTTCTAATACCTTTCCCAGCTAAGCAGTTGTTACATCTGTGGGATTATTTATTGTGAATAGAGTACGAGACATGAAGCATCACAAAGACCAACTTTCTAATATGCAGTTCTGCAAGTCAGTTGTGAAGTGGGAATTGCATGTTAGGTGATATAAGTTATCAGACAAGACATGCTATCAGAAGCAGCTGGGGAGACATGGATTAGATGAAGTGCTCACAGGAATGTCTGCAGTTGCTTGGAAATCTAAGAGGATAGTTACTAATTAATTTTAAACAAGACACGTGGAGTTAGTTGAGTTTAACCTTGGTCTCTTCAAGGTTCAGTATCAACTAATAACTGATTAATGGTGTGGACCGAGGAATGAGGACTATGCTTATTAAATATCCAGCTAAAGCTGGGTGGGGCTCCACTCCTGCTTGGAAGATGCCTTGTGCTAACAGCTATCCTGACAAACTGGAGAAGCAGTCTGAAGAAAGCCTGAAGGATGGAGTGCATGGCTGGTGAAGCTTCCCTAACTTTTTGGCAGCAGGACCACATTATTGCAAAAAGCAAACACACTTGGGTTTGTATGTAGGGCTACTGCCTGGAAGTTGCATAATGGGAAAGAACAATTTTCTATGTAGGGAAGTGTACAGCCGAAATACTTTGCCTGGATTTAGGCATCGCAGTCTCCTATTGTTTCTTGTGGACCAGCCCTAGGCGGGGTAGTAGAGAGCAATAAGCAGGATCAGAAGTGAAAGAAACGTGGTCTGTGAGCAGAGGTGACTGAGCCAGTTGTATTTGGCCTGGGGAAGGTAGTGGCATAAAAACGAGATGGTGAGAGTAGTGTCCGTGATGCTGACAGCATCAGGAAAGGAAGAGCTCTCTGTGTGTCTGCTGCTAGTAGAGAACTGGTGGAGGGCTTGAGCCACATGAGGAGGGATGCTGGCTCTTGTCTAGGAAGCTTCTGCTGCTAAGGGTGGCATGAAGAGGTGGCAGGGTCCCTTTGAAGCACAGCTGGCATGTGCATTTTGGGCGATGTCACGCTCTTGGTCCTATCTCACTGCCCTTCTCCAGCACCCTGTGGATCGTTTCTCTGTCATTCTCTTTTTTGAGAGTGGCCATCAGTGTGTGATACGGTTAGGGAAGCATTGGTCTTCATTCCAATTACCTTCCTAATGTTAAAAGTTTGATTTTAAGAAATATATCTGTCTGATGCTTTTTCCCCTGGTGATGCAATATTTTCACAGGTGGTATTAACGGAAAACTTCATTGTATTTCCAAGTTTTGTTTTCTGTATCTATGCTGTCTTTAGTTTCTATAAAAGCCTTTTTAATTTTTCTTTTCTGCTTCACTGTGTTGCAATTTCCGTTGCTGCCGTGTTGCTTTTTGTTTACCAGGCTCTGCTGGTAAACAGTGGTACAGTGCATGCTTCTCCCTGTTTGTTACCCCTGGCCTCTGTTTGCCCCTGGGGGCTGGCACCTAGCTCTGCTGGGGTTCTGGCAAAGAGCCCCTACTCCTTCGTTTGAGATGAATCAGCTTTGTGTTTCTGAGTCAGTGTATTAGGACTGACACCCCCCCCCCGACATACACATAAAACAGAAAAGAAAAAAAAACAACTCAAAGCAAGCAAACAAGCTAGCTGTATCTTCCTTGCTACTTTGTATATACTGTGAAATAAATAAAACTGGTACTGCAGGTTGTAGCTGTACAGCGGAATGGTTAAAGAACAAGAGAAAGAATTTTAGTCGAACCTTTTGGTATTGTGGAGTTCATCTTGGCCTTTAACTGAGCAAACAAACGTGTTTTTAATGAATGATTCAAAAATATATTAGTTTTGTGGTTCAGCTGGGAGGCAGAGGCTGTGGTTTTGTTCACACTTAAAAGTTGTAAGCTCCGCTGCGTTTTAATGATTCCATTTGAGCTGCCGTGACCAGGGCTTTGCTTTTGTTTCTATGGAAAATTTACATTAAAGGCATTCAGTGGGGGGACATTAAGGAAGGAAACTCAGAAATGAAACGTTGGTGAGAAACAAACTTGCTTAGTCAGGTTTGTAAAATCGACCGGGACGCTCTGTTCAGCTTCATCTCTCCCTCAGCCCCTGCACTGTATATGCAGTCCCCTCAGCTGGAGGGCGAGCCAGTACTGCCGTGGGGCTTTGCTATGGAGCCCTGGCAAGTTCTGTGGTGGCTCCCTTGTTCCCCGTTTGCTCAGCCCCATTTGTAGGCTGCAGACTGGATTGCCCTCCTGAGGCTGCCAGTCACCATCCGGGCACCTCGCCTTGGCTGCTGCTTCATCTGCTGGTTGTGGGTACGTAGCCAGGGACTGGCAAGGAGATGGGGAAGGGGCACTGAGATGGTTTAAAAGTAACCCAGCAACACGCAAACACAAAGCCCCAAAACCTTAAATCAAAGAAAACGGTAGTTAAAACTTTAAAATACTGTCGGGTCACAATAGGGGAGCTATAATATATTGTGTGGGCCTTTCTTTTAAAATTTTCTTTCCACCCCTTCTCCAGCTTATAAGGAGCTTCTCTCCTTTGATGGCACAGGCGCAGTTGAGCAATGCCTGCTCTCAGTAACGGCTGCCTGCTGCTCCTCTGGATGCTGGGCTGTGGGACTCAGCCCTCTGCTGCGGGAGGGTGGCAGAGCGGCAGCGTGGTGCTGACACATGGGCTGGGAGCTGGTTTATTTCAGGGAGAGAGTGCCATTCCACCCACCCTTGTTCTTTTTCTTCTGGCAGTGTGTGTGCCTAGATATCAGATCTCGGTCTTATACTTCGTTTCTGCTCTCTAATACTGCGTTTCCCAGCTCTTAGCGGCTGACACCCCCAGGAGCATTGTCACAAATCTACTGGGTGTAACAATTGTAATGCTTTTGTCGTGTCCCTTACAATAGGACTCAAATGTACATGTGCGTAACCCCTCAAGAGGGGATTGCGGGCAGAGAAATGCCTCCTCTTCCCATGATTCTTATTGCTTGAAGCGAGTTAGTCAATTAAAAAGAGCAAGTAAGCAGAGCCCCTGCCAGAGAAGCTGAGCTGTCCAGGATCATCACAGAGGAGCCTGAGGAATGTGGGGAGGAATTCAGGCCAGAGCTACTTGACCCTTTCTCTCTAGAGCTATTTTTTAATTTGCCTTTATGTGAATTGATAAACATGCTCCCTTCATCCAAGACCCTGTAGAATAAAGCAAGCATCTGAATATCAGAGGAATTCAACATTTTAGACCAGCTGAATGAGCTGGCAGTTACCTAAATGCTTTATTTCATATTCCTGAAACAGAATATTCTAGGTCAAGTTTTGTTTTGTTGATATCGATAAAGGTGGTTCTTATTCATACAAATGGCAAAGTTGACTTTAAGGTTATTCTTATGAATTCACTTACTGTTGTAGTACTTCGTGTTTTTATATTGTAGTGTGTGTTGTATGTATAGTTGGTGCATTTTATTTTTCCATAGACTGAGTGAGAATTAGGGAATTTAGGTTCTAGAAATGTAATTTTCTTTGGGAAATTGCAATAAAAATATGGCATACCCTTCACTTACTTGCCAAAAGTGAAACATGAAATGCGTGGTGTCAATCCTCCCTAAACAGCACTCCTTTCATTTTTTTAGGAGCTTGTGATGTCATCAGATGAAGCGAAAACATCTACCTCGTGACCTGGCATGTAAGTGAAGGAGGAATTCATATTTCTTTTAAGAACAGAAAATAATGCACATGTTGGTGTTTACAATGCCTAAATTGAACCTGTATGCCTTCAGCATTCAGATACCACATTTTAAATGAAAACCTTGTGGATTCCAAAGGAGTATAAGGGCTTTCAAGGGAGACGAAGTCACAAAAGAAGCTGTTAATGATGAGATTCCAGCGTGCACAAGTCCTCGTAATAATTTCAGTTAAAATCTGTAGTGATGTACCCTTGTTGGTAGGCACAGAGGGAATAGTTTCATGTCGTTATGCTGTTTACATGGGCTGATTGTGCTGCTTTTTTTCTGCACGTAGATTTTGATAGTTGTGATGAATACATGCTGATGCTGTGGTACTCTTCCTAAAATCAAAAAAAGTCCACCTGTGCAGAGATTTAGGTTCTTTTTTACATGTTTGGATACTCCATAGTAAGCTTCCTAGAGTTTTGTGATACTTCTATTTTTCCTCCCCTCACACTTCAGTAAGGAAAAATGTTCTATCCTCTGCATGGGCATTTACAGAGATTTTTTTTTTTTTGTCTGCCCCTCTGTGCTTTCCTTTTATGTGGTTGAAAGGATTAGAGAGCAGTCGCTGCTTTGAGGGCTGATGTTAGCAGTGGGCTGAGTATTCCTAATTAGTGCCAACACCTGTACCTCATTATGGAGCCTTGTTCAAGCTGTCCACTGAACCGAGGTAGCTAGTCTCTGTTGCATGTTTCTAATGTGATTATAAGCCCCTCTCTTGATGCAAGTTTTAGTACTTATTCTACTTTTGGACTGATGTGGAAAATGGAGCTAAGCTGAGCCATTTGGCTAACTACCAAACACTGTAAGGAGGGGCAAAGAGAGGGGATGCAGTGATCTCAGTTTCAAGACTTTCAGTTCAAAGCTTGCTTCTACTTGGATGTTTTTAAAAAATGGAAGAACAGAAAAAAAAAACCAACAAAATTTTGTCTAGTTTTCGGTGTCTGATTCTCATAATTTAGAGATCAAATCTGCAGGCTCCAGGTGGGCTCTGAAGGTCTGAGTGCAGCCACTGTTGGGCATAACCCACTGATTTTCTGTAAATGGAGTTTTGGCCTTGACTGTTCCCATACCGTTCCCTTTGTTTTCAAGGAGTTAGGACCTAGCAGTTCTTTCACAAAGAAAACAACTTTTCTTTTCCTCCTACCTGATTGTATACTGTGAGTAGAGCTAAAACATACACAGAATCACACAGAATCACCTGGGTTGGAAGGGACCTCAAGGATCATGTAGTTCCAACCCCCCTGCCTGGCAGGGCCACCAAACATACACATTCAGATCAGGTTGCCCAGGACCCCGTCCAACCTGGCCTTAAACACGTCCAAGGACGGGGCATCCACAACCTCCCTGGGCAGCCCGTTCCAGGGCCTAACCACTCTCCTAGTAAAGAACTTCCCCCTAACATCCAACCTAAATCTTCCCTCCTTCAACTTGGATCCAAACACATAACGTGTTTAGCCCTTGCAGCTGGAAAATACGACGTTGAACGGATTAAACTGGTGAAATTAATGGCTCGGATAAGATGGATCTCTGTTATCCTTGGCCTTTGCAAGCATTTGAACTTCATTGCTTTTTTCCTAACTACTTTAAGTAGGTTTTTAAGAGGTTAACTTACAGAATTCAAATATACAACAACATAAATTCTGGCTGTGGGCTTTATTTCTACTCTCTGAGTGAGGAGAGAAACAGAACAGCTTCAGATATGTGCCTTGGAAAGATGTGAGACAATAAACCTGTAAGAATTCACAGGAAAACACTGTGTTAGTCATCCAGATTTGGAAAAACTGAAGGAAATGGAAGTGCAATGGCTTTTTAAACTTCAGATGTAGGACTGTTAGGAAAGGGATCACATCTCAGCAGGGTAAAATGTTTGGCTGGAAAGAAAAAAAAAAAAAGAATTTGATAAACTTTAATGTGTTTTTCTGCATTGTATATCTGCTTCCTAACTTGTCACTTACAGGAATGCCTTCTTAATCTGCTTCGGGAATGCTATAACTCAAGTAATTCCTGCTCTGCAGAAGTACTATCTATCATCCTGTTCTATCTTCTGAACTTGGAAACTTTAAAAGGTCTTGAGAAATTTTCACAGCCTGTTTTTGATTTGTTTGTTTTCATGTTAATCTCCTTAGGCTTAAAGTTGATTGAGCCATTTTAAACTCCTTACAGAACATTCTCTTTGGTTTTCTCTTATCTTTATTCAAACTCTGCAACACCTGGAAAAGGGAGTAAAGCCTTTTTTTTTTTTTTTTTTTTTTTTTTTTGCAACAGTGTGTGTTTGGTAGATATTTCTATGAGATGCTGACATGGCTGTAGGAGTTAGGAATAGATATAGATAGGTTCCTCCCTGCTACGTTGTGGTGGATGCTAAAAATGACAAGAAATGCCAGAGTAACAGATTCCAAAGCAACTGTTTTCCTGAAACAGTTCTTCAATAGCTACGCAGAAGTCATGGAGGTTTTATTCATGAATTTTACGTTCCTTATTGTGATTACAAAAGGAAGAACCTGCACCTCCAATGGTAGTAACATAAGGCAGAGACAGCTTTCCCTTACGTGCTTTTGGAATAGTGTATGTAATTTGTACATCTACACATGCATATATGTATGTGCATATGCACACATATGTTTTGAGTTGTTTCAGGATGCTGTTTGCTTCTTCTTCCATCCACAGAATCACCAAGGTAGGAAAAGACCTCCAAGATCATCCAGTCCAACCATCCACCTGCCACCAATATTTCCCCATTAACCCACATCCCTTAGTACAACGTCTGAATGTTTCTTTAACGTCTCCAGGGACAGTGACTCAACCACCTCTCTGAGCAGCCTGTTCCAGCACCTGGCCACTCTTTGCTAGTAGAAATTTTTCCTAATATCTCACCTGAATGTCCCCTGGCACAGCTTGAGGCTATTCCTTGCTGTCCTATTGTTGGTTACAAGGGAGAAGAGGCTGACCCCCAGCTCACCACCACCTCCTTTCAGGTTGTTGTAGAAAGCTATAAGGTTTCCCCTGAACTTCCTCTTCTGCACGCTGAACAATCCCAGTTCCCTCAATCGTTCATGAGACTTGTGCTCCAGGCTCCTCACCCTTCTGTGGACACAATCCAGGACCTCAGTGTCTTGTAGTGAGGGGCCTAAAACAGTACACAGCTCTCAGGGTGCAGCCTCACCAAAGCTGAGTACAGGGAGATGATCGCCTCCCTGCTCCTGCTGGCAGCACTATTTCTCATACAAGCCAGGATGCCATTGGCTTTCTTGGCCACCTGAGCACACTGCTGGCTCATGTTCAGTCAAGTACCAACCAACACCCCCAAGTCTATTTCTTCCATGCAGTCTTCCATTTTTTTCTGATGAATATACTATTTTCATTATTTACCATGGTGCAAATCACATGTCTGATCCATAGTTCACAGAGATCAGGTTGGGAACTGATGCGTTTAAAAAAGAAGATCCATTCCATGGATGTGAACTTTTCAGTGTAATTCTGGTTTCATATGAACTCCATTAGTTAATTAGACCAATCACTATATCTGATAATGGTCAGCCATGGACACTTAGGAAAAGATACCATTGTAGCGCTAGTGTACACTCACTCTGTTTCTTGTAGATTTTTGACTTTGGGGTTGTGTGAATGGCAAATCATGTCATACATTTTTTTTAATTGTGTTTAATTGCCCTCATTCTCTGTTTGCCAAATTCTGTTCTGTTTACTTTTCAACTCCTACAACATTTCATAGGACTGAGATTCTCTAAGTAGTTTTAATTTTGTGTAAAGACATTTTGGATTGTTTGTCTGTTTGTTTGTTTTGTTTGTTTGTTTTGCTTTTAATGACTTAAATTTTGCCCCATACCTTTGTGTGTCACTGGTCTTCTGGGCCATGAGAAGCAGTGAGTAGTCTGCTTTGCTTTATCACTTGTGGCGGATTTTTCCTATTCCACATCCTCTTTTCTCACCTAGTTAGTCTCACTCTGTTTCATCTCTTATCCTCAAGCCATGGCATGCTCCCTGTACAGCTGGATCTGGAGCTTCAAGTTCTGCAGATGCATTTTCTTCAGCGGTACTAGAGAGAGGGAGAAAATACTCCCTGTTCTTAGCAAAAATGAGTGATTTGTTAGTATTGCTCATCAATAAAGATTTTTCTGTATAGCCCACTGGGCACAGTGGATGAAACCAGACAGGCTTGTATTGGTGTTCTTCACTGCTATGAAACCTTGCTGGAAGGATGTATTGCTGTGCAGTTCTGTGGGGTGTACTCATAAAACATTTGATGCTACAGCTGAATTGAGAATGTACAAGGAGCTCATTTTTAGAGTTGTACAATTAATGTGCTTATTTTTCATCTACCAAAGACCTTTTACTGGTGTCCTTCAGGTGCTGTGGCATGGCTGTGTACGTACTGACTTGGTGATTGAGCAGGCAACTGCCTTCTGCCTTCCTTGCAGAGTACAGCCAAAGGACCAGCCTGGACCTATGCTGCTCCTGCAGCACAACTGCAGTGTGAGGAAAATCAGTGAGGGAAAACGTATTGATGTAAATGAAGATAAGGCTGTGGCAGTTAATGCCTTTTTTGCCTTGGTCTTTAGCAATGGCTGGTCATTAGCAATGTCAGTTGTTCCCAGAGTACCCAGCCTCCTGAGTTGGAAGATGGTGATGGGGGGTGAGATGAAGCCCCTGTAATCCAATGGGAAACTCTGAGTGACCTTCTACATCTTTTAAATGTCTGTAAGTCTATGGTGCAAGACTTGATTTAGCCAATGACATTGAAGAAGCTGGAAGCAATGCTCACAAGCTACTTTTTAATAGCTTACTGGCAGTCCTGGCTAACTAAGGAGGTCCCAGTTGACAGAAGGTTAGCAAATGTGACTCCTATCTACTAGAAGGGTAGGAAGGAGAATTCAGGGAATTAGGGACCTGTCAGTCTGACCTCAGTACCAGGAAGGTCATGGAGCAGATCATCTTA